TCCACCGCTTAGAAATTCATTATTTGATACAGTTTGCTGCAGACCTCCTTTGAGCTTTTTTCACTTAAAGATAATTTATGACAAGAACAGAGAGGTTCTTGAAAATGCTTAGCAACTGAAACTGAATGATACCACTCTGGTGCAAGAAGCGGAGTCACCAGAGGCTGGTAAATAGGAAGTTTGCATTTGTATGAAGAACTGTATTAGTTAAGTATTCACCCATGGTGGATAAAATACTCATACTAATAGTCAATAAAAGATGAAAGAGAAAAAAAAAATCCAACAACCAAAATGATTATTCCCGGGGGTGGGGGTAGGATATGAAAGTTGGTACCCTGAAAGTTTGCAAAAGACCCGCCTATTCACATTTTTCTATAGTAGAACAAACAAAAGGGCAGTGCTTACTTTGAAGAACAGGCTTCATTTGTTCTGTCACCATTTTGTTATGGCTTTTATCTGTGCATTAGCAAGAATCAGATCTCCACATCATGTAAAGAGGGATGGGAAGTATATGAACCAGAGCCATCAGACAGCTCCTTTTGGTAGGACACAGCTCCACACAAAACGTTGAAGTGACTACTTACAATTCTAAATTTGCCAGTGGTGACCTGACTAGTGAATATAGCAGGATAGAAAATTTTGAGTGAAGAGGTTCTTTGTCAAGACTCCCCAGTGGAAACTTTATAAAGTCGATATATTTATCTTTCTTTATTTATCTTGCAAACCAAAGATCCTTGTCCCCTTGCCTCAAAGAGTTTGGAATTTGCCATGCCTCTTCTTCGAAGAGCTCACATTGTTTTATTCAGTCTTTAACTATCTGGTGATCAACATGTTGTCCACAGGAGATCAACCCTTATCTCTTCTTAACTATCATGTTGTGAGCTTCTCCACGTCTGGCCTACAAGTTCCCCTAGCAGTTAGCTGATAATTATCTTGTAGATGTGACAAAGCAATGGGAGGAGGTGAACAGAACAGATGGGACTATCAGGTCTTTAAACAAATGCCTACTCATAGAAATCTGAAGAGCATACACAGCAATAGGCTAAGAAAGAATGTTATCTAGCTATTAAAGTCTTTAGATAGTTATAGACTCTTCCCAAGGCCTTTCTGTTTTTTGACCAAGTCCTAGAATAGCAGCTTCCATGACAAAGCTACGTTCTACTCTCTCAACTAAGAGTGGAAAGGAGGGCTGCATTCTTTCCTTCTTACCTTCATCTCAGCTTCTGCTTAATCTAAGCTGCAAACCAAATCATCTTCAAAAAGTGCTTAAACTTCCCGCCTTCCTCGCCCCCCCCATCATCACAAATGCTGCTCATTATAGCTAAAAATCAACTCCCAGAACCAGCCCATGAGGGGGAAGCAGGCCCTCAAGGAATGTTCACTGACTGAGCAGAGCAAAACATGAGTGTTAGTCAGACTAATGGAAACAAGAAAATAATTCGATGGAGTGACAGTGTGAACAGTGAAAGGTTAAAGAGAACAGGATGGGGTGTAGTGTGAGGTGGTGAAAATTTATTTGAAGAGCTTTGGAGTAATATTTTCTTTTGAGAAGGAGGATATGGGAAATGGGTTGATTGGCCTGCAAAAGATATGGGTACCCTCAGTGCAAGAATTTTTCTGCACTGAGCTCTAAAGAAAAAAAGAAGAAAGGCAAAGGATACAGAGAATGAAAAGCTATTTGATGTGAGGTGAAGAGGGAGGATTAGGGGGAGGGGAAGGGGAGAAAAAGTGGTTAGGAGGGAAGCAAAGACGGAAGGGAAGCAAGCACATATGTGGTTTAATTTAAGGCTCAAACTCCTAGCGCTCCCATTTCTTTTTTTTTTTTTGCTATTACTAAAATGTTATAAAGAATATCCTTACACATGTATCTTTTAGTACTTTTGAATATTACTGCAGGAGTGGAACTGTAAAGAACTTTCTTACTATACTTTATAATTCTATTATATTGGTGTTTCATATAATCAAAATGTGTTGCTTTTATAGTCAAAAAAATAACTCAAAAAATTAAATTTCAAGAAACCCTTGGAGCTGTGAAGATCCTCAAAGAGTAACACACAATGAGATTTAGTGATATAAAACAAGTTGTGCTATTAACATTTTTTTCTCAGTTCATTTAGGAATATTTACTCCAGCTTCTGGAAATGGTTTAACCTCTTGAAGCATTATCTACTTTCAAAAAGTTTCCTTCAGTTCTTTGTTTGCCTCCTCAAACAAGGACAAACCCATTTTCCCCAATCTGACGCCAAAACCTTATTTCAATTATGTTTCCAGTCCTACACTTCCACAGGAAAGTGTTCTTAAAAGTAAAGTGGGCTGACAGAGCAGATCTCTAGCTGTGTGGGGCCAGGGGCTGGGCAGACTGTGAGGGGGCTTCATGGGGGACCCGGGACCTTACTGGGGGTGATTTGCCAAAATTCACCAAATGTCCATTTAAAATGGGTGAATTTAACACTGCATAAATCATACTTCAATCAAATGATCTTTAAATAGCTTTAATAATAAAGTGAATTAGTACATTCTTTCGTTGATCAAATAAATATTCCAAGTTCTTATAAAAGCCAGGAAGATTCTCTTTTTAAAAGTCCTAAAACTATTCCCACGAAGTGTGTTTTGAAGAGCCGAAGGGACTTTACATATTTAAATGCCATTTTTATCTATTTGAAGCATAGAAAGAAAAAAAAAATTTAATTACTGATTTTTATTCAGTAAATCTTTAGTTCTTTTTTCTTTTAATTTCCTGACTAGGGAGACAGGAAACCCTCACTCCTGTATTGATATTTTGATTAAAACAAATATCCACCCATTCATTAAAAGTTTCTCTCATATAAAGGAATTCAATTTTTTTTGATTGGTCCTAGACTCACAGACAGACAGAAATAAGCTGCCATTCTTCCATTTGATAGCCAGACGCTGCCAGTTGTAGCCAGGGCAGTCATGCTGTTAAATTAGGTCTAATGAAGGAGTAATTGCTTTAGATATAGTGAACCATTTCAAAGAAAACAAGGATTCTAATTGATTTGCAATTTGTTTGGCACATTGCATTGTCTGTGGCTATTGATTAGTCTTCTGGATTTCACACTGCATGTGTTTCCCTTTATTAAGGGAATAACAGGTTACTGATTACTTTCTTTCTGGGTTTAATGTAGCGGTTAATGTCTACTTTGTTCTTGTGTCATGTCACAGGCGAGGAAGGAATAATAGGCAAGTGGGTGGCCCTTTGCTAAGCAACTTCCCTGCTGCTCTGAGCTGTGTTCTCTGAGACAGGCTGAAAAGCAGATCAAGAGAAAGGGTTAGAATAGCAGGACTCGCAAGTTAAGGCCTGAGTCAGGCTAGACCCAGCTCGAAACTTGGCTTTCCCTCCCAGTCAAAGCAAAGCCTGGGATGAAGCAGCTGGTGGTAGATTTGTTCTTGTATCATTTGATTATTTGTAGACAGGATATGAATCTATGCCCATTGTTTTGTTTAATAGGTATGCATACTAAATGTGTGCAGAAAAAGAATATTTGAGGTGGAGGCCTTTTGGTTCATTTAACCCTTTGGGAAGTGACATTTTGTTGGCACCTGGGAAGCACTTGTTGCTGAGGTGTCGATATGATCATCAAAATGGCTCTTATGTTTATACCAACTGCAGGGGAGGGAGAAAAAGTTCTCAGGGCTGCAGTCATTTCATTGCCCTCAAAGCACAGCAGGAATTATTAGCTTACCCTGGCGTGCCCCTTTGTTTTCCTAGGGCTTTGCCCCTCCAGCAGATACTCATTTAAGGCGAATCCACTGCTTTCTGAAATGTGTTTTGCAATGGTGCACAGAACAGGCACTCACTTAGCGGATCTAATCCTTTCACAGCTCAGCTTGTTAATGTAGCAAACTGCTGAAAATGGGAAATGGATTCTTTAATGAGACCGGTCCCTTCGTGGCTTTTATTCTGCTGGTCCAACCCTTAGGCATTCATTCAAGCACCCCCCCACACACACCTTCCCAAGCCAAGATCAGGCACCCCCACTTCCCACCCAGCAAGTGACCCATTTTCCAGCACGGAAACCCCCCATCTCTAGGCCCCTAGCCTCCCCACGACCTTCCCCGGGGCCTTGGAAGCTCACACATAACAAAGAGGTGTGGGCAGTAAAAGATTCTCTTTCTCTGCATCAGTTACCTCCTTCCTAAACTGGGGTTATCTTTTCCTGAGCTCCCAACCTCACCTAAAGGGCTGTAGAAGGGAGCTTTTTCCTGCTAAGTTCCAAAGTAGCAAGTACTCAGTGGTTGCTTCAAAAGCCCCACAACTTTGCTATATTACCCAAATTATTTACACATTTAATACTAGTCTTTAGAGTGGCTTTTGTGTTATGTTGGATTTTATAGTGACACTGATTGCCAGGGGTTGGAAAACAGAGCTAGCAGTGAAAGTAAACTTGGACTGGTTTTAGTCCTTTTTCTTTTATCAATTTTACTCCTGTGGGTCTTTCCAAAGCCTCTGTACTTCTCCTCTAGAAATCCACTCCCCCTCAAAAAATTTCTAAGCAGGTAAAACTTAAGTTAAGAGGAATATTAAAGACAACATAGAAATCATAACAGTACAGCCTGCAGTTTTAAGTATCCACTTAGGAAAGGAAGATAGTTTATGCCCATTTTGTTCTGGAAATAGTTGGTTTGGGAAAGTAAATTATGTATACATGAACTCAAGTTGTTTTTGGTGCAAGTTCTTAACTTTGTGTGTGTGTGTGTTTGTGTGTGTGTGTGAGGGGTGTGTGCTGCGGATTGAACCCAGGTCTCTTGCATGCTAAATACATTGCTCTACCATTAAGCTCATTATGAGCCCTCAGAATAATATTATTAAGTGCAGAAAATAAAATAAGCAATATTACAAAAAAACCTGATATTAAAATAAAGTTATAAAAACAAATTTATATTTAGCAAGTTCTTTACTATTGTTAATTTACTGCTTAAATAATCTATGGATGGGTGTAGCAGCTCCTAAAATTTTTGATTAATAACAAGCAACTAAATTTTGGATATATATAACTTTAATATGTAATTTTAAAAATCTCTGATTTCTCTGAGTAGCATAGTCATAAGTATTGATAACAAATGTTTTTGATTCCTGCATCCATAAATGAAGGAGGTTATGAAAATAAAATGATGATTTTCTGCATCCAAATACATGGGTCCCCTGAATTGTATCCATAAAACAATAGGCCCCTGGTTCCTGCAGTAATAGACTTCCAATAATTCATCAGTTGACCAACAGCCTGTCATCATAGCCCTAGGAAAGAGAAAGAGAGGAGAAATGAGCATGGAAAGTGCCCAGTTGGTGGTGTTCTGGATCTGGCTTCACTGTACATAATTATCCACGATTTCAGAGTATGGAAATCCTATAAACCTTTTCAAGACTGTCTCCTCTTCTAGAAGACTCCTGAAAATATAAGTCAAGGCCATATACCATGACACATGGAGAAAGGAGACCATGGCAAAAGCAAAATGGAACAAGCAATAAATTATGCTTCTTTGCATATAGGAGTCTGATTACTAGAATCACACAAATTTATAAGAAGACATACAATTGAATAAATAAAATTTTTCTGGGGACTGATAAAAATGTGAAAATGACAAAGTAAAGAGAATTTAGTTCATATTTAGTTAACTAGAGTTGCCAGATTTAGAAAATCAGAACACAAAAGTTGCATGGCAATACTTGTATTAAACATTAAAATCTATAATGTGAAATAGGAAGAAAAGGTGTAAAGGGGAAGGGGAAATGGGAGGGGTAGGGGAAATGAAAGAAGGGAATGGAATTAATATGAGAAAAAGAAAAAATGGAAACAAAGTCTTTGTAGATAGGGAGGGATGGAGGGGTTGAAGGGAGGGCAGGGGAATGGGGAAAAATAAGAACCAAGAGAGATTATGTAAAGGTGCAAATTTCCAATGATGAATGTCATACTTTATACCTTAAATGTACCAATATAATTAATAAAAAAATAAAAACAAAACAAAAAAACATTAAAATCTAGATTTAACTAGTTGCTCTGTATTTTATCTGGAAAGCCTATAAAGCAAATCCAAGTATAAATTACAATTAAATTATAATTAAGTAACATGAGAGAACTTTTTTTACTGGTCAAGTAGTTTGAACTAAACTCAGAAATAGCAAGTAAAAACTGTGCATATGTGCACCCATGTTCATAGCAGCACAATTTGTAACAGCTAAAACTTGGAAGCAGCCCAAATGCCCATCAACTGGACACTGGATAAAGAAAATGTGTTTTTTTAATAAAATGGAGTAGTACTCAGCCATCAAAAATGAGAAATTAGAGACATTTATAGCTAAATGGATGCACATTGAGGAGATACTCTTAAGTGAAATAAACAGGACACACATGTGTAAATACTGAATAGTTTCTCTAGTGTGAGAAACTGAAAGTGTAAATAAGGACTAAAAAGTATAATAGATAATGTGAACTAGGAAGAAAAGGGGCAAAGGGGGGGGGAAGTGGGAGGAGTAGGGGAAAGGAAAGAAGGGAATGGGATTAATATGAGAAAATGAAAAACTGGAAACAAAGTCTTTGTAAATAGGGAGGAATGAAGGGGTTGAAGGGAGGGCAGGGGAATGGGGAAAAATAAGAACCAAAAAGTATGTAAAGGTGCATATCTCCAATGATGAATGTCACTATATTATACACCTAAAATGTACCAATAAAAGGATATACAAAAAAATTTAAAAAAAATCAAAACTGTGCATGTTAAAACAAAGGTAATTTGTTTTAAGAGTGGGGAGGACTTGAAGATTGAAAGGGAGCTATGAGATAAGAGGGAGTTAAGAGACGATGAGGAGGAAGGAAGTAGTCAAAGGCAGGAAGGAGGAGAGCTGGAAAGAAGCACACAAAGGTCCGAACTGAGCAGCCATCGCAGTCTGCGTCTGGTAGGACCATACTCACTGACTTCTCTCTTAGCCTCTCTGCTTGCTTCTTTTGAGATAGATGAAGCTATGCGCTTGCTTGGGCTTCTGCTTGATCCTCACAAGAGATAAAGGAATCAAGGCTCAGGGAGATTAAACAATTTGCCTGAAGTTGCCCAGTGGAAAGTTGCAGGGCTGGGATTTAAACCCAGAGCAAACATGTTTGCCACCACACCTTCCTCTCTGCAGCAATTGATGCCCCAGCGTCTACTCTCCCTGCCACTTCTGTTGCTTCTTCTTCTGTTAATCCTAGAGGATTGAAACTGTCAGGTCCAGTAGGTCTGAGCTATGTGTATCAAAAACTATGGCTGTCACACTCTCTGGACACCTTTCCATTATCCAAGATAGAGCAATTAAATTCACCAGCTGGAAAACTTACTTCCTGGCTAGGAAAAGACAGGTTCACTCTAGTTCTTCATTAAGAAGAAGAACAACAAATGCAAGCCACACCATGTCTGTATATCCCAGCTTCTCAGGTGGCTTGGTCTTGGAGGTGAATTCAGTCTTGGATTCTTAAAATGCAGGGGGGCAGCTCAGATCTCAATAGCGGCTACAAGCCTACGTACCCTGAAGTAGCTTGTGTCTTCCACACTGCTTGTCCCCCTGCAGAGATGTCCAGAGCACCACATTGTAGCAGGCAAGATGAAGGTCCCTTAGAGCAAAGGAAAGTGTTTTTGTTGTTGTTGTTATTGTTGTTGTTGTTGTTATTGCTATCTGTGCCCCAGAGCACAGGAGCAAAGGCAACCATAAGCAAACTTAGGGTGCTCTGTGGCACACCTGAGATGCTGCTGCTGCATCAGCCCAGCCAGCCTCTCACAAGTAGCACACCTGTGTGGAAGGCCCATCCCAGGAAAGCTTCCTGGTGAAGTCCCAGCCATCAGGCCTCATCAGAGCCCTGGATCCCATCACCCCATATTGATATTCAGATAGCCCCCCACATTGCTGAAGAGGCATTTTCTCTTGCTTTATCACAAGGGGTATCAATAGGCTATTTATATTTTGAACTCCATTGAAAAGAGGATTATACTAGGGCATTTAATTTTAGTTAAGAAAATATAGAAATTACTCCCATGTATGAAAAACAGTGCTTTAAAATGAAAGAAAATAGTTCACTTCTTGCTGTCACAGCAGTAGCACTGGTAAGTACTTCTAAATTGCTCTACTTTGCTATTGTCTGAGGTCCTTGATAAGCATTCTGCCTTTTAAAGCTTTATCTATTTCTCATCATTAAAAAGCTCATTAGTTAGTCAGCATACTGGTACTTCCTTTATAGTTCATAAATTCAGATTATAACCTTGTGTCCTATGAACAGTACCACTCATTTAATCTTTCAAAACACTAGTATGAAGACATTTAATGGAAAGATTTAAAATTAGATTTCTATGTTTAGAAGTCTCAATAAAACACACTGACTTCCTAAAGCTTTAAAAGAGAGATGTAAAACCAGTAGCATTTTGTTGTCTGGCAGGACTCGGAGCTTTTCGCTGAGCCATATGACAAATGATTAAAATATCCTGTGATCAACACTTGGAAAGAAAGCATATAGAATTAGTTCATCTATGATTAAATTTCTAATGTCAAGTTCTATTCCTGAGCTACTACCATCATAGTATTTCCTGTTTCCACACCAGCCAAATTTCACCATAGTGCCTCTTCCAGTACGGCTCCTTGCAAAGTGAAAGTGTCCTCATTCAAACCCAGGACTCTTTACGCTACCTGGGTAGTCTCTATACTAGAAAAGGCTCACCAGGCACAGACTGACAAACCATGAGGCGGAGAAGAACCCAGTGACCTCACTAACCCTGCCTTTCACCCACATGACCTCAAGATGCAAACAGAGTGTGATAATTATTAGAATAAAAATATCTTACGAGTTTTGAAAATAGAGGTTATTTTTATATACTCTTTTGAGCAATGATCCGATATGTTCAAACATTTAAAGAATTAGTTTATACTGTAATTATTGCATTTGGTTTCTCACAAATTTCTTTTGGTTACAGGCTTTCCAGAAGGGGGTGTTGAAGAAGCCAAAAATGAAGTGAGCTACGTGGCTCAGAGTAGCAGTGGTGCTCTGGCTCTCAGCACTAGCATCTCCATGCTTCTGCAGCCCTCTCTTCTCTTCAAACACACTTATTCACTTCCACTTTTTAGAAATAAATGTTCATCTAAGAAGAACATCAAAAATATTTGTTATTGGGGGAAAAGATTCAGAGGACCTTCCTAACGGTATGGCACAGTGCTGGATATCTTATTCTGACAGCAATATTTGGGAGGAATGGAGAAAAACAGCAGCGTGTCTTGGAAAAGTGGAATACATGGACAAACTTTGATCTGTCATTCTGGTTTAATCCAAGGAACAAATGCAGCCTTACCAATCTAGGTGCTAGATGAAAGCAGAGGAAACTGAGCTGCAATAAAAACTGAGATTAACACCAAATGAACAAGAAACAAGAGAGCAAGCATTTTGGAGGGCTCTGAAAATGCACACACACACACCCATATTCTTATTCTCTTGATTTGACATTTTACCCTGGACTGGATACTACTGATCTGAAATGGATCGCAATGCATTTACTGCCATCTTTCCCACGAGTGACCTGTCCAGTACCACACCATGCATTCTAGGGTAAACCAGCTTCTCACATGGGGGTGACAGAATGAGGCTGAGGGATAATGGTAGAGCAGCTTGGAGATGGGCCAGAGGTGGGAGTGGTTCTGGGGCAGGGCATTGCCCAACAAATTACTCTTGGCCATGTACAAAATTTTTAACCTTGGAAACTTTAGTAATTAAGGCAAGTTAAACATTGATAAATTTGACTCTTTTTATTGTTCTTTTTTTTTTAAAACAAAAACTAACTAGAATAAGTATAGTGTCCTAATTCTTCTGTTTCCTTCCCCCATCCCTTCTGAATAGACCCCTCTATAAAATTTTTAATTAATATTGATAAATAACAATTTGATATATTAATGACATACAACTGTATAATAACTTTTGGCAATTTCTCTCCCCTCAGCCACTCCTGACCACGAGATGGCATTTAGTGGATGGTTTAATCATTTTCATCTCACAGAGCCTGGTTTTTAAGAATCTATGATGCCCAAGACCTGAGGTTGTGTTGCTTCTTACTACACAAGGAGCACACATAGAAAACTGTTTCCCAAATTATGCCAGCCCCTCTATCTCAGCTCTCACTCCCCTACTTTTTATGCCCATACTTCTACCAACATTTTCCCTCCCTGCACCCGCATATTGTGACCATGTAACCCAGACAGACCACTTTCAGAGTACAATTTTGGAATTTTAGGTTCTATTCCCAACTGTACCAGGCCTGCCTCTGGGAACCTAAAGTATCCTATAATCTAGTGTGCCTTGGTGTCTCCATCTGTCAATCAAAACAATAACCTAGAGTACTGGTGAGATGTCCCCAGTGAAGACACTGCTGGGTCTGCAGAATAAAAATGGCTACATGTATGCTCTAAGCCAAAGTAGTTCCTCAGTGTACGCCATAGTTGTTATGTGAGACAATCAAAACCCTCTGGCAAGACATCTTTATATCAGAATAGAGTTTCCCTTCGGCATGTTGCCCAGCTTGAGTACCAACATCTTAGCCAGCCTCTTGAGTTGAAGCACACACCTTGAGATTTTAGCAAAGTATTTTTAAGATGTAGCACCATTCTTCCCAAAAGTTCTCAGTCCACTGTTTTTCAGGAACCTTAGGTTATGTGGCTGGCTTACTTTACAGAGCAGTTGTGTTTTGGGGGTGGGTGGTACTGTTGTGGGAGGAGTACTGGGTATTTAACCTAGGGTCTTCGCACTGAGCAGCATCTCCAGTCTCTTTTATTTTTCATTTTGAGACAGGGTTTTGCTAAGTCACTAAGTTGCCCAGGGTGGGCTCAAAATTGCTATCCTCCTACTTCAGCCTTCCAGAGTGCTGGGATTACAGGCATGTACCAGTATACCTGGCTGGACAAAACATTTTTGGTGGATAGAATTTTATTTTAAATGTATAACAGGAACTCACCATATCAACACTTTATTTGATGGTTTATTTTATAAAGCAGGAATCTAACACATTTCTATTTCTTAAAACCTGACATACCACAAACCCCCTTCCTTCTTGCCGTTTGGCAAGGAACATCTGAGACCGCGTGGTTTCACCTTATTTACACTCAGCAGTACCCAGCTCTCAGGATGTTTGGCTCCTGCCTACTTGACTCTTCTGGGCAGCCTCTGCTCATTCCAGTTTCCTCCCACTTAAGCAAATAGAGCATGTTGCTATGTTCTATCACTATGAGCCTGGTCCCAACCTCTGTCATAGTTCACTTCCCTGGCCTCCTTCTAAGCCAGGCCCTGCTCAGCCTCTGCAGCCTGCAGCTGGTCCTGAGGCCCAAATTCTCCAGGCTTATCCTAATATCTACCTTGGCCTTACTGGAAGTCAGCTCACACTGAGACATAGACAGGGTCACAGCATTCCCCAGACATCCAGTCCTTTGCCTCTCTATCATTGCTTTTTAGAAGTCAGAGCTGCAGCAGGCTGTGTTTCATCAAGTTGTTCTGAGTTCTTGTGGACAGTGGCTACTCATTCGCACAGTCAGAGAGCATACTGCAGCCCACACTGCTGTGCAGCACAGTTCACAGGCTAGCCCTTAGCCAGGCCATGCCCACACTCTGAAAGGTGACATTCTCATCAAGAGGGTGAAAGATTCTCCAGACTCAGGAGCCTGGGAGGCACATGACAAAGCATGGTCAGCTGTGGCTCCAAGCATTAGTGAAGGGACCTGGCATAGAAGGGCCATAAGAATTCTTGTCTATGGAAACATGGAAACTACCGTCCCAGCCCTAACTCCACTCTCACCACTCCCAAGTCATCTAATTCTCTGACATCAAATGTGCAATGATTCACAACTGTAGAGAAGCTCAGGATTACCATATGTATATTTTTTTCTGGTTTGTGTGATAGAATAATTGCTTTCCAAAAATGTCCATGTCCTAATCCCTGTAGCCTATGAATATGTTATTTTACATGGTCAAAGAGACATTGTAGATAGGATTCAATGAAGGATGTTGCACCTGGGTTGTTCAGGTGCCTTCAGTGTAAACACACAGGCCCTTAGGATTGAAGAGTGTTTCCCAGCTTGGTCAGAGGAAACCTGACTACAGGAACATGGGGCAGGGGGCGTGCAACATTGCTGGCTTCAGAAGAGGGGCCACAAGCGAAGGAGTGTGGGTGGCCTCCAGAGGGTAGAAAAGGCAAAGAGCTAGCTTCTCCCCTACAGCCTCCAGGAAGGAATGCAGCCCTGGGGACATCTTGATTTTAGCCCTGGGAAAACCATTTTGGACTTCTGACCCCCAGAACGCTAAGATAATAAATTTGCATTGTTTATGACATGAAATCTGTGCTAATTTGTTGGCTGCTATAGGAAACTAATACAATTTAGAGTCGCAGTTGGCTAAATTTGTTGTGGCCGTTTATCTTCCTTGAATGCTTTGAGAGCTTTCATTAACGTTTTTTTCTTCTGTGGGTTTTCTGGATACAAATTACTCCCTTGCTTTTTAATTTCTTTATTTCTTTCATGTATAAGCTGAGGCCTTATTCCCTTCACTAAAATACTATAGCAATATTATCTCAGCCTATAGCCCTGACAAGAACAATCCATAAAGGATGCTACATTTTCTCCCTGAGTAAGTGGGGTGGAGGGGCCTTGTGCGGGGCCAGTGAATGCATTAACCAAAGACACACTCCAGGGAAGATGAATGAAAAGAAGATGTTTTGACCAGCTTGACTGTGGCACTTCATCCCTGGAGTTGTTCCCTAGAGTCTAAATTGCCGCTGACCTGGCAGTTTGCCTTCTAAAAGCTTCAGGATGCCTGTACGAGCTGCCCTGAGGGGAAGGCTCCAGGGCAAAGACAATAGCTGTCAAAGAATCTTAGATCTCACCCTGACCACTCCCCTCCCCAACAATGAAAAGTTCAGAAAACAACCAAATGTGCGCCTCTGAAATATGCCTAGTCAAGCAGTTGTTTCACTTCTGCCTGTTGAACATTTGGGTCGCCCAATGCAAATGTTAAAGCTGTGTTCAAACCAGAAAAAATAAAAATAATAAGCTGTCAGAGTAATTACTAAGAACATGCAAGGATTATACAAAGTAAACTGCAGCCCGCAAAAAAGAGAATTGCATGTTAGCTAATTGTTAATTTTAGCAATCGCAGCGGCTAATTACCACGGCACACATTGACTATTAGCTTGATGCCCCAGCACCTGCTTTCTCCAATGAACAGATTTCTTCATCGCTAGCACAGGAGCAAAATGTGTAATTATTGGCCATCATTGGGGCGATTTTTCAGTGATTCTTTTGTGCAATGTGAATAAAGCATAATGACATATTTTATTAGAGGGCAAATAGCTGTTTGTTAATGGAAATGATTTGAAATCCAAAAAACTAGAAGCTAGGAGCATGTTTTCAGTATCAGCGTGAATTCAAATGTATTTTCTTTTAACTCTTTATAAAAGGAGCATAGAAATCAAATCTAAACGGAGTATAATATATTTAATGATATGTACAAACACAGCATTGATTAATTACCTCAAATGCTTTCAATGGTAGACCATTTATTTTGTTTCAGTCATGTGTTAAATTTTAGTATTTCATATTTAAATTCTTATTTCTTGGTCCGAGAGTCTTGGTAAGCTGGCCTGCGTCATAACCTCATTTCCTGCACAACTCTCTTTTTATTGGTATACGTGGTGCTGGCAGGGAGTGCACCAAAAACCCAGCCTGCTCTGCTTCCAGAACAGCCTGCTCTGCTTCTGTCTCCCTGAGGAGAGAAGCATGAATTAGGTTCTCAACACCCAACTGTCAGCCCCCCACCCCGGAGGCACACTCTACATTGCAAGTAAGGTGCCCTGAGTGTAAGACTAGAATTCTTGCAGGCTTGGAAATTATATTCTTTCCTGTTTCATGACCAAATTAATAGATCACTGCCACAGGAGCCTATCAAAGAATAAAAGCAATGTCTATCTTCATCTCAAGCATATGAATATGAGTGTGTGTGTGTGTGTGTGTGTGTGTGTGTGTGTGTGTGTGTGTGTATGAATGTTATCTCCCTGGAAAACATGCAACATAGGAAATAGGATTTTGTTTTTGTTTTTTCTGTTGCTGACCTAGTTCTTATACCTCCCTCTGCCTCCATTTTCTTCCCCTCCCGTTTATATTTTTATAATGGAATAATAGCTCTATATGCAGTGCTATGGAGCTCAACTCTAAAGTCCTCTGGAACTCTCAAATTAAAAAAAAATCTGAGAATGAATTAATGAAGAAATAATTCTAGTGTGATTGAAAGATCACCATTATTTTGATGGTACTTGGGGGGAAAAAACTGGTCTGAAGCGAATGTTTAATTCCACCCATATTTATACCTTGTTTATATTTCTAACTGAACGCTCTGTGCTGAATTCCTCCCAAACCATGACACAAGAAAATACGCTCTTGTTCTCCACGAGGAAGATGAAAGGCTGTGCTTGAAACTCGTGTTTGCAGAGCGTTTGTCACTCCCTTCCACTCTTGGATCTGGTTATGAAAGTTGTGTATTTTCAAAGGTCACCCAAAGGCAACCACCTCTGTTTCCTGAGCTTGAAGAATTCACTCCTAATTGCCGGGCTTATTGTTTTATTGCCACTGTTTACAAACAAGGAGAAACTCCCTCGGAAAGGGCATTTTGCCTTCTTGCCACAGGCTTCCAGGCTATTTCAAGATGTAGATAAGTTCAGTATTCAGGTTCACTGTTTGACCCATTAAACTGGTATTGAGGTATAATTTGTGTGTTTTCCCAGTACCATTGCACATAGAATGGGGTTCATTTCCACACGTTTGAATAAATTTATCCAGTTCAGTGAACCTGTTGTGAAGCTCAGCAAAACTCAGTAGGTGGCTTTAAAGTCCTGTAATTAGCCCATTACAGAAAATCTGTACTTTAGATTTTTGCACATTGGTTAATAAGCATAACATGCTTCATATATAAATAACATTACATTAAATGATGCAATATAAAGGAATTAAAGGCCAGTAGAGTTAAACAAAATACTTGAAAGAGACCTCAAATTAACATGTTTAATTCCAACTCACTGCACAGGAAAAGCCTCTTGTGCTTACTGTAAGGGTTCCACAGAGCTCATGAGAACGTGAGCCGTGCCCAAGGTGCCAGCTCTCACCTCCCATACCCTGCCTGCCTTCTGTCCACTTTGGCTTAGATGGACTCACCTCCACCTCATTTCCTTTTATTTCTGATCATCCACAAGGAGGTGAATTGAAGAGGCAGAAGAAAAAAAGAAAAGAAAAAGGCCTTCAGCCTGCTGTGGCTTCCTGGGGTGATCTTTGCCTGAGCACTTCCTTCCTGATTCACGGGGTCGAGTGGGCTGCCAGGCTCTTCCTTCTGCTCTGCTTGCTTCTTTCTCTCAAGTCTGTTTGACAATCACTTCAACACAGAGTGCAATGGGAATGTCACATACACTAGAATTTATCTTCAGAGTTTCAAGCATTTTATTAGAAATGTGACTGTCAAACAACCCTGTGTAGTATGGCCTCACTCTGGCCTACTTGAAAAAGTGTTTTTATCTCTCTGTAGAATGAAGTAAGATTTTCACCTAAATGGCTCCCAAATATGGTGTAACAGTAAAGTTCACCTGTTCCCATGAATCTAAGAATGAGTACAAGAATGAGTACAAGAATGAGAAGTTGCATTATGGTTATATAATTAGGAACAGAAAATAGTTGGGCTATATAACTCACCTACACTAGAATATGGGCTCCACGAAGCCATGAAGTCTGGCAGTCTTGTTTCTTCTTGTAATGCCCTCAGCCAGAACAATTTATCCATCCATCCATCCATTTCCTGAGTACCTACTGCACCAGGCACTGCAGTAGACTTTGGACATATAATGGTGAATTTAGTGGTCTTTCCAAATAAAAGAAATTATCCGGTTGGCTATATGTCAATGTCATAAAATCAATTCATCAAATAATCAATTTACTGAATCACAGATCTGTCAAATTTATCAAATGCTATGACTTACAAAAATATGGTTCTTCTAACTTCTTATAAACTTATAATTATTTCTATGGGATTTTCTTTGGTTGACCAGTTTTCTTTTGTTATTTATAGCAGCATTTTGAGGAAAAGTTAATGCTTTAAAGCATTGTTTCCTCTTCTTATGAATAAATTTTCTTTTATTGTTAATTGACAAATAATATTTATATATATTTGTGGTACAATGTAATGTTTTGATATATTTTATGTTTTAGAATAAATAACACATCCATCACCTCACATACTTACTTTTTGTGGTAGGAACTCTTAAAATCTAATCTTTAATCAATCTTGAAATATACAATGCATAATTTATTAAATCACCATGCTATGCAATTGATCACTAACACTTATTCCCTCTTCCAGTTGAAACTTTCTACCCTTTGATCAACATCTATTCTTTCCCCATTTCTCCCTCTACTGCCTCGAGTCTCTGATAACCATCATTTTCTTCTCTGCTTCTAGAAGCTGAATAAATTTTATATTCATAAATTATTTCATTTTTGTCCAAAATTAATTGTTTTTCATAAAAATATTTAGCCTTACACAGATTTCTTTTTAAAGTCATTTACAACTTTGTCAGCTACTTAGCACTTATAGGATTGTTTTTACTAACTTTAATTAAAATTTTAATTTCTGTGAGGACTCTTGGCCAAGTTAGCTTGTGATGTTGTTGCTTTACTATCTCCTAGTTTATTTCCTAGTCTGCCTGACTTTTAGCATTTTTAAGATTTTTGATCAACCTTTTAAATCCTTTTCTTTTTTTTTGCAAGTTTAGAGTTATGGTAATATAAAAATCAAAATTGAAGTTGTATTATTCACTTCATCATGCCAGTCCCTCTGATTCTTGTCATTTCTTTTCTGCATCTTTGAATGTTTCCCCTTTCATTTCAGATCTTTTGATGCACTACAGCTAGGGAAAGCTACCACGATTTCTCCTTGTTGGAAAATTTGGCCATTTTATATTCAACTACTTCTAACTTCAGTCATTGTCTAATTTTTCCCAATTATATTCTTCTTATAATTACTCAGTGGCATGGTGGACATAATTTTTGTCTCTAGCAATTAAAAATTTCTTTTTTTTTTGATACCAGGGATCAAACTCAGGACCTTGTGTTTGTGAGGCAGGTGGCAGAACCACTGAGCTAAATCCCTGGCCCTAGCAATTAAAATTTTAAATTTCAACATTATACATAAGATGAGATTCTTCCAATTGACTTAGAGTTTTTCCCCATCTTTCTGAATATCATTTAGAATTTCTTTCATCATGGGCCGGGGATTTAGCCCAGTGGTTCCTGCACTTGCCTCGTAAGCGCAAGGTCCTGAGTTTGATCCCTGGTACCAAAAAAAAAAGAAAGAATTTCTTTCATCTTTAAGCATTTTTGCATTCCTTCACTGATACCTCCAATGGCACATCAACTGTCATTTTATATGACTAGTAATTAATATCCAAATATCTCTGCAATTCATGTTGATTTAGTTGCCCTGAATCCTTCTTTAGCAATTTCATACTTAAGGGAATAAATGTCAGAATTGGAATACTAATCTTAAGTAAAGATTTGTTTGTTTTTGTGGTACTGGGGCTGGAACCCAGGACCTTGCATGTGCTAGGCAAGTTCTTTATCACCAAGCCACATCCTTCGTTAGGGTTACTTGGTTACTGACTTTTAGATACCCTTTCCTGAATTGTTAATATAGACTCTAAAATGTAAAACCATCCTATGACCCTTAGCTTTTAACAACCAAACATTGTTAAACTGGCATTATGAAGACAAAATAAACGAATCAGCTGAACTTCCCAGAAACCACCAAAACCTGTTAAAATATTTTATCCAGTACAACTTACTGTATAAACAGAAAAATAATCCTCTCTAGAAAACTTGTTAAATGTGGCAAATGTGCAATTTCAGAAAATTAGTTTTAAGATCTTTAGGGCTAAAAACCAACCAACCAAACAAAAAAGCCATATCAAAACCACAAAACTCCTGCTGCTAAGGAGCTTACACATGGGGTGACAGGCAGTAATCCAGGACTCACATCTGTGAGCGCCATGATTCCAGGAGGGGATACCCGAGGTGAGCAGGCCTCATTAGGGATCCCAGGTCTGGGAGAGCACAGTTAACTAAGCAATGCAGGGCAGAGGGGCCTCCCAAGAAGAGAGAAGCATGAGCAAAGCCGAAAACACAGTGCGTACCTAAGGCATCCTCTATAACTGTAGAATTAATGAATGATTCGTTGTTAGAGACTGAGGCCACTCGGTGCATTTTGTCCAAGACAGTCATCCTTCAAGTTGAGAGGTAAGTAGAGGGTATCCAGGAAGGTCTGCCCAGCTAAGATCATTAGGGGACACACTGCACTGCCATCTCATTCACCAGCAGTCCTGCCTCACAGTTTTCTTACACATACATGTAAACAGAGTACATAGCCACAGGCATTGCCATTGCCAACTGTCACCAACTGTCCGAAAATGAGCATTCCTAAAGAATAATATTACTAGGCTTTACCCTAAATAATCCCACAGAATATCAGGTCTTCATGCATTTGCTTCAGCCTAGGGTTATTTTCATAGACTTGAATTCTCTGATGAGGGACATGAGAATCTTTTTTGAGTGCTATGTAAAATATGGAATCTAGGAACCCACCCTAAACCCACAACAATGTGATTGTAGAGTACAGAATCTAGGTACATGCATTTTAATAACCTCCTCAGGTTATTTTGCACCCTAAATGTTGAGAACCACTAGTATAAATACTAAGCAAATAAAACTTGAAAGGAATAGTATGGCAGGTTTTACCAGGTAGGATCTGACCTGTTTCTTTGAGTGAGTTGTTTAGTCTTACTCTCTCCTTCACGCTGGGAATTTTGTGTTGGGACTAGGGATATTGCTGTCTCCTCCCTTCCTTATGTCCTATTACCGCCACGGAGAAATCCACTCCAGGAGCCACATACCAGACTCTGTGGGTTAGCTTGAACTCACTTTAGAGATGCCAAGTCTTGGGGTTTCCTGGGCCTCACAGATCTAGAGCTGCAGGTCCCAGGGGGGTTCAGGCGCCATCTCATTTGTTCACACCTGGGTGCACTTCTCAGCTGAAAGCCCGTTTCTTGCTCATCTGTGTGAGTGTGTCCTCCTTCAGGCAAAAAGAGACATCCTCATGCCACCCCTGCTTGTAGGACACTGAACCATCACCTCCCTCCTCACCTCAGCTTTCTTTTCTTCTCAAACTGCCCCTCCCACACACTTCACAGAATTAAGTAAAGATGAAATTGCAGTTATTTTTGGTTGAAAATAGTATGTTTTCCTGGTCACCCCACAGCCCCATTGAGCCCGATTTCTCCCCATAAGAGATTTCCATAAAGGTGCAAATATATCCCCTCCATCCCAGGTTGAATTATTTTGTAGAAAGTTTACTGAGGAGAAAGGGTAAGGGAACTACGGAGCTGGGGAGAAGGAAGAGTAAGGAGTGAGAACTCTGATTCTGTTCTTAGAATTGTACTGTAACTTGGGAAAGCTGTCCAAGCTACGAGCTCAGCTTCCTCACCAGGTCACACAGGGATAATAATCATCTCTCCTTTGTGAGACTGTTGTGAAGCCCAAAGAAGCCCAAAGTCCTCAGGCCAGTCCCTGCCACAAAACCCTCAAAAAATATTAGTTAGCTTTTACTATTTTTTAATAACAAATTCACTTTTTCTGCCAGATGATCAGAATGGCAAGTAAGCATCCTTGGAAGAGGCTGGGTAGGGTTAAGGCTTATGTGCCTTCAACAAGACATGAAGATTCAGTGAGAAACCCTGTGATGTCACACTATATCGGACACCATAGGAGGAGGGTACTGCTGGAACCTGGCCCTTCCTCAGGGAAAGAGGGACGACAGAAGCACTGGGGACTTTCTGTGCACCTTGAAGCTTTCAAACTTGAAACAATGTCAAGATGCATGTTCAAGAGAGTATAAACAGAAGGAATGAATCCTCCAGATGTTCAAATTTATATGGTGATTCTTTGATATATGAAGGAAATTTTTAATAGGAGGGTAGAGGAAGGGAAAATAAAAAGAATTAAATGTACTATGTAATGTACCAACTCCCTGTGAGGAATGTAATCATTATGTCCTTCAATCATGTACTAATAAAAAAAAGTAAAAAAATATGTTGAGGAAAGGAAAAATCAAATATAGAAAGCTGTTCAGAAGCAAGTTTAAAGCTTGGAAAACTGGTCCAAATGAGGAGACCATTTGGTGTTTTGGCTCTACATACCTCCACAACCTTCATTCTTGTGCCAAAGTCCTGCTCTGATCTCTTTTCAGGAATCTCACTCCAAGGAAGTGGCCAGAAAGCCAAAAGAGAGATAATTATCATTGTCTCTCTAGGACAAGGAGATAGCAAGCATCCACCATTTGGGACACCATGCAGAATTTCCTTTTTTATCTTAGAGATTCACAGTCCTTGGTAGCAACCTGTAGTTGTTTGACAAGCACTGTTTAAAAATAATTCTTCAATCACACTGATGTCTACCCTGGGAAAGAGAAGATTGAGTTTCATCAATCATGCCATCTTTCAATAATCTGAGGTTAAAACAGTAATTGATTTCACGATTATATGTGAATGAGCTCTCACTTTATGTGGGTGTGTTTTTTTCCCCCAACACTACATGTCAATTTGCTACTTCTTGGGTGTGTTGAGAAGAAACAAGTAGCTAAAGTGTGGTGAAGATGAATACTTAACTCTTCATTTACTAAGCCAGCTTTTATTGAGCACTTACTATATGCCATACTCTCAATAAGCATGGGGATACAGAGAGATTGGATCTTGGTCTCTACTCTCCTGCTGTACAAAGGCTAGTAATAAAGCCAGAAGTGTTTTCAGATCATTAGAATACAATGAGATATGAGTTGACAAAAGTAGGCTAATTCCTCAGAACTTAGGCCACAGGAATAGTGCCAGAACCTTCTCAGACAGCTGAAGATAAGAAGGTTCTACTTTCATAGTAATTACCACCGAGATCCTGAGCCATCCTGCACAGTTGTGGAGGATGAAAGGCTATCACTTTCTAAGGGTACACCATTCTCTTTATAGATTTGCCTATTTATTAGGGTCCTCTCCTGACAGACGGGAAAGGGGCGTCTTTTTTAATAAGCATGTTAGAAATATGTCTTGTCAGCCCTGCTTGCGATAGCAACATTTTCCTACGCATGTAGGCACTTTCATCTCTCACCCTTAAAACAACCACGTGAGACAGGCATCATTGTCCTCAATTTACAGATGGGAAAAACAAGGCTCAGTAAGATCACACAGCTTGTTCAAGGTCACAAAAGCCCAACCACGGACTGTGTGTTGAAAGATGGTTTTGTTACTGATTTATATTTTTAATTGTGTAGCACAGTAGCCCTGGTGGGAACAAAAGATCCCAGCTGAGGTGCCAGCTAGTTCATCTTTGATCTGGACAAATCCACAGTGCTGGAAATTGCCTACTATCTGGAAAGTGAAAACATCAGAAAAGGTCAACACTGGGAGTGGGGATATGGCTCGCTTGCTTCACGTGTATGAGGCCCTGGGTTAAATCGCTAACACTGGGGAAAAATTTTTAAAACTCTGTGTTCTTTGAAGTAGAGGCATTCCTCAAATGTTTGTATTTCATGGCTGTGTGGAATGCCTCACTGTATGTAATAATCACTAGAGAAAAGGTTTTTTCACAAATAACTTTTACCAATTTACTCATTCAATAAATGGATAAAATATTTGTTCAAAAAGTATTTATTATATGCTCACAATATATAAGGCATTGGAATTTGCTCAGACATAGATCCCTCTCACAGGAAACCTACAGTCAAGCAGGGATGGTAAAATATACACAATTACAAGAAGTGGGAGCCAGGCGTAGTGACCCATACCTGTAATTTCAGTATTCCGGGGGGCGGAGGCAGGATGATTGCAAACTCAAGCCCAGCCTGACCAACTTAATGACTTAATGAGATCCTGTCTCAAAATTAAAAATATAAAAAGGGATAGGGATGTAGCTCAGTGCAAGGGCCTTGGGTTCAATCTCTAATACCAACTTTACAAAGTAAATCACTCGTGGGGTTTAGAAGAGGGAGGGATGCCTTCCAACTAGGACAGCAGGGAAACTTCATGGAGAGGGATGTAGGTCTTGAAAGAGGTGAAGAAATGGGGCACACCAAGTGGAAGTGTGGAGGAGACTCCCAGAAAGGAGGCCTATCCTGTAAACACAGCGCAGGCAGCAAGGGCACTGGAGAGGGCTAAGGCAGCTTGTGTGGGTGAACCACAGTGAAGCCTTCACCTGGAGTTTCCTTGGGACAGAAGAAGAAAGGTTTTCTTCTGAAATGCACACACAACACTGGACACATCCTCTATCTAGGATTTATGCTCAGTGTTTGAAAGAAGAAGGTTATACCCTGGTAAATATTTCAGTTGAGAATATTGGAGAATACTATGGCAATGATATAGAACTTCCGATGATACTGAGATGAACAGTTTAGCACACAACAGATTTTCATTATTTGTGTCTTTTTTCTTTTTGGTGGCACTGTGGATAGAACCCAGAGCCTCTCCCATGCTAGGCAAGTGCTCCATCACACTTCTGACCCCATGTCCTCTTTTCTTTTATGAACCATCCTTAATGCTACTTCTTTGCTTCTCAGGGATGAGGCGATTTTTTAGATAATTACAATGCCCCATAATGCCCTGCCTGGGGCATTATGCTTAGTAACAAAATGAAAACACAGACATTTCTGTGTGTTTTAACATACCAATATCTTCATTTGTGCAGCTACTTATATAGAAACTATGTGTGTCCTACAAATGTGAAGGAAATTTTGCCCTTCATTCACCACATTCTTCTCCTTCCAAAAGCTTCAAAAGAAATATTTTAAAAAAGAACAATTAGAAAAATGTTATAACTTGCATTCTTTCATTTCATATATGTAATTTAAAAGCTTAATGTTTATTCTTAAGGTCAGCTATCTGGGTCTACGCTAAACCATTTCAAATATTGGACCATGATTATGCTTTATTACTTGCCCCACTGGAAAACAATCATGAGGAATTAAAGTGGGACACAGATCATGTGAGGTCCTTTCTGGCTAGTTAGTGGCTCTGCAATTTGTTGGAGACCTTGAGGAGGATCTCTTTTTCCTCAGGGAAAAATAGTAATGCAGGAACCCTGCACCGACCCAGGGGCTTGTAGTGAAGGGCTATGGCTGACAATCATTGTTTTTAGAGTGATGAGGATTGTTATGTGAGAACATCACTTTATTGAAATTAGATTAACAGTAACTAATTGGGAATAGTCCCGATTTTATGGTAACGTAGGTTGGATGTAATAGGCGAGCTGTATCATCTGATAATTGGTGCTGTCATAGCATTTGGCAGAATTTTGGGCATCATTCAATGATAGAAAGAAAACTAGTTTCAGTAGAAAGTTGTAAAGTGAGCAGGGCATGGTGGTGCACACCTGTAATCTCAGTACAGTACTTGGGAGGCTGAAGCAGTAGCATCATTTTGAATTCAAGGCCAATCTGGACTACATAGCCAGTCTCTGTCTCATAACACTACAAACAAAGAAGTAGTATGTGCATAGATCTTAGGTAAAATGAAAACTAGAGCTGACTACTCTTTAATTGTGTGAAAAAATAATTCAAAAAGCATAAATTTAAAGATAAAAATATATTCTTGAGGACTGGGGATGTAGCTCAGCGGTGCCCTACCTGCCTGGTAAGCACAAGGTTCTGAGTACAATCCCCAGTACCAGGGTGGGGGTGGGGATATATATTCATTTATTCTTGGGCTGGAAAAGTTGCATAAGGAAAAACTTTCTAATCTCTTGCAGCTTTGGATATTATATAGGATGTATGTGAGTAAAATTTGCAGAGGACTAGAATAAGAAGAAAGGACTTAAAAGGTGGAAAAAGAAAAAGGAACTAGCTAAAGTGGGTACATCTGGTAGAAGAACTTGTTACTAGTGGTCAGTGAGTGAAAGAACCTTTTCTTTTTAGTTGTTTGAATAGTTAACTTTTAATTGACTATATATTATCTTGAAATATTTTAAAATTTAAAAATAATATGTGAAGGTATTAATCAAATATTCTTAGTATTTGTAGTGTTTGCTTTTTTAGCTCATTCACCATGTATTTGTCTCAAATAAAGTTTTGGAAG